TGCTAGCCAGCAAGACTTTCAGAAAATAAAAATCCCAGCCAGCAATCATGTTTGACGGTCTTTTGCCAGCCAGCAAGGTTAAAAAAACAAAAATTACGCAATCCCAGCCAGAGTGAAACTGAATTCGGTGTTTGCCAGCCAGCGGTAGCAGAAGTAAGTTATGAGCCAGCCAGCAAAGTTTCATTTAACACATTAGCAAGAAAAACATGTAAGTCAGTAGGCAAGATCTGTTGTACGTCAAATTTACATAATATAAAAGAACGGCGTGTTTAACCTGTTTCACCCTTTTATCTAGTTGTCTTTTTTTTTTCTTCAGATATAGGAAAAAGATCAGTGTATTTGTTTTGTATATGTTATTCCCTATCCCTAAGTATTACATAACAATAACATAACTAAAGACATTCAGCGGTACTTACAGTTTTGGAATGTGGACTTGAGGAGTAGTCTTGAGTTTTTGCCAGGTAAACGATAAAAAGGAAGATCCCGAACTTTGTCCATAACACAATAACACGTAAAAAAAGTGATCACCGCAAAGCCTTAAGACCAATGCGGGCGAAATAAAGTTTAAGAATAAACAACATAACGAGTAAGCTCGATCTACGTGTGGTCTCCTCTGCAAAATCACCCCAAATTCAGTGTAGACACATGCTTATCGCCAGCATTGTATGCCGTGCCTACTGTTACTCCGCAAAAAGTTTACGCCAGAACTGATAGAAAGTTTCGGGTAAACAGGCTTCCGTCGGAAACTCCTAACCGCTACGGCTGAAAACCACGAACCCACAAAGTAAGGTAACCTTTGCGGTCTTTAAGTCGAGTTTCAACGCAGAAAAATTGGGTAGGGGTGTGCGGCCCGCTTCCCAAAACCCTTACCCTATTTATAACCAAAATCTGCGATTTTCCCTACCCTATTTATGACCTAACCAAAAATTTGATACCCTATTCTGTGAAGGACTTTTGTTGCTTGTATTTTCTAGCCTACAAAGCAGCCGGTGGAGAGGAAGGCAAAGCGCGGATGGAAGGAGGGGGACATGATAAGGAAGTAGCTTCTTCTAAAAAAGTGCATTCAAGACTACAGTGCAAAAATCGTTACCCTATTTATGACCAAAATGGCGGCAAAATAGCCAAAATCGATACCCAATTTATGACCAAAACGGCTGAAAAACCCTACCCTTTGGGGTCGCACATACCTATATAGCCCATATTAGGGAGTACCCCCCCCCCCCGGGCAACGTGGGGAGGATGGTTTCCTCTTTCGTCATTTACGTAAACGCCTGACAGCAAACAAGGACCTTTCTGTTGCGGTATAAAAAACAATACTCTCCATGTTTTCAAATATGCTATGGCAACAGTTTACTTTTTAAAGCCAGACTGATAACGTGTTCTTGTAGTATTTTTCTCTGCACTAGTAAGAGCTTGTCATCCTGAGTTTGATCCTACTCACTCATTTTTTCTGTAGCCAAGAAGCCATAATGGTATGTCGTCAGACAATCACCACAAAAGTTTCGGAGCAAAAGCCAGTAGTCGTAGGTAGTCAGTCAGGCAATCACCGCAAAAGTTTCACACCAGAACTGGTGCAAAGTTTCGGAGCAAAAGCCAGTAGTCGTACGTAGTCAGTCAGGCAATCACCGTAAAAGTTTCACACCAGAACTGGTGCAAAGTTTCGCAGCAAAAGCCAGTAGTCGCGCGCGGCACTGGTACTTAAATCTTCTTAAATCAAGTTCTTAAATCGTCTTCACGAGACATTTAACTGAATTTATGATAAAAATGCTTTCAGGAAATAAAAAATATATTTTTTCCAAAGATCAGCAGTACGCATGGGCGTATGTGCGTATATAAAGGACACTACGCCCCTGCTAACTTAAGACCCGTTCTTATAAATGGGACAGTTAGCGTCCTATTCAAGAAGCGTTGTCAATCTGTTCTGTGTCTGATCCCAGAGTATTTTTTGTTTGTTTGTTTTTACACCGTTTCATAAATTCGAAATTCGCTATCAGCACTGGCGATACCGGCCGGGGGAGGGGGGGGAGAGTGGGTTAGTAGTGTGTCTTTCCTTGCTGAAGAGGCAAAACTGGATACCTTAAAAACCGAAAACTTATATTTTAAAAACCGAGGAACTTTTATTTTCGTTATGTCAGAAGCCCATAACCAGCTCCTGTGGTTGTGAACTTCTTCAAGGCCGAAAATTTCAGTAAAAACCGAAAACAACATCTAAAAGGAGGCACACAGTTTGGACTAAACAGGGAAAGAGGCTTCTGATTTTGTAAAATGTCATTCTGACGCACGGTTCAATAAGACTTATTACTATCCCTTGGGCATCCACAGGGACAAGTCCAGCCCTTCGGGCCAAAGGGTGGGGAGTTGCTTGAAGCGGTCATTTCCCGGACTTTCGGGGGTAGTTGGCGGGGCAAATCGAAAATAACTTCTCTTTGTTTTTGTGAAAAACATCATTTCTCGCGCGGTTGACAAGATGGCGGCGGACTCCGTAGCTGTGGAAAGGTGCTTGTGAAACATGTCCCTGCAACATGTAGGACAGAACGTGCGCGCGAGAAGATACGCGTGTCTCGCTCGCGCGCCCCGTTCTTTCTTGCGCCCACCACTTCCAAGCGCCTGCTACGCAGGCTAAACAAGACATGGTCACCAAATAGAAATAAACTCAATATGGCGAAAGTATGATGGTCGATTTCATAGCAAAAAAGATACACCACCGAACCTCTTATGTCTGGAAATGTTGTTATAATGCTCATCTTTCAAATCAAAAGAATTATTTAGGTCAAAAAGGTTAAACCTTGTCGTTTCTTTTTCTTTTCTTTGTTGTTTGATAATGCCAAAAAATTGGGTCGGTCGGACGACGCTAAACGAAGAAAAAAGGGCAGATGCCCTGTTAATATGGGTATTTGGCTCCCTCAGAGTATAAAAGTATAAGTTTACAAGGATCCAACCTCGTCTCCAGGGCGCTTTTTTCTGGCTTTGGAGGTGGGGAAGAGCGAGGAGAAACGGTTGTTTTCGCAGGCTAGAAGAAGGGTATTACTTTTTTTTCGGGAAAATTTCCACCGGAACGAACCGTTCCATTTGAATTCTCCCTGGAATTTCCGAGTTTTCCATACAAATGGTTAGCGCTCTTGGTTTCGGATGGTCATGTGGAAATGTGTGTCAATAAATTGAGCAGCGCGGTAGCTCTTCTACTAAATCGAATGGACGTTGAAATACTATCTGGAGTAGGGAGAAGATTCTTGCTTCAAAATGACGCTTGAGTTTCTGAGTTGCGTGCAAACTGCTTTGCTTTCGGCTAGTTAATTACGATAACATTATTTTAGAGTTTGTACTTGAAAAAAGATTTGCTCGCCTTCCTATCAACAGGATACAAAAAATCTTGCTCGATTTGCACGAGCAAAATCAGCTTTTCGTAAATTTGCATACTCAGCACGTACAGTTCATGAAAAGGAAAAGACTATGCAGTGTAGTCAGGTTATTTTCCGCTTTGGTTAATTTATCGGCTGGTGCACGATATACCAAGTAAATAACCAACCTCGCTCCCAGCGTTCTCTCTCTTGCAGTATGCAATACTATTTTTTTCGGGTGTTGTTGACATTTTCAGATACCCGCGCCATCAGCTGATCATAAACGAGGCGGCAAACTCCTCTCGGGCCCCGACAGAGCAACTTATGTCGAAGCGACAATTATTTACTGTTCTTCCCCTCCCTTATTTTTGGCTCCCACATTTTGGGCACCACTTGACCAGCCGCAACCGGGGTTTTTCTCGAGGCAAGAGAGAGAACCCTGAGAACGAGGTTGCTTTAGTTCAGTGACGTCAGCGATACCTTCAATAGCTTTTCTGAAAAACCTTAAATAAGAACGGCCGAGACCAGGTTTTATGAGCCTGCGAGACTGAGCACCCCAACAAACCCTTGTTTTCACAAAACCGCTGGTCAGCCAAACCTGGTTTAGGTCGTTGTTATCTAAGGCCTTCCAGCTTTTCTTCGCCGATCTTGCTTTGAGTAGACTCCAGTTTCATCAAGGGGGACGCCTTGTGTGGGCTACGTGCATGACAAGCCAACTTAAATCAAGCGTAACCCAATTCTTTATTTTTGTTTGAGAGTTAATTTATTTTGCGGTGATTCTTTTGTTAACGTTTTCCTTGAAGCTACAACATGCACTGTACTCATAATAAGGGTAAATCATCCCTCGTCCTCTTCCCAAAGCAAGAATATGTTCTGATTAAACTCCTAGATTCATTAACAGTCTGAGTAACTTTTTTTTCGACTGTGATAATCACAAGGCTGCATCATACGATGTTACACTCCATGAACAAAACATGTCGTCCTAGCATGGGCCCTACGTACTTGTGATACGCGCGCAGTGACCCCCCTGATCCCATCTGACCCACCCCACACAAGAGTTATATTAAAGGGACTGGTTCACGATAATGCGCATGTGTGAGTTCTGACAGTAGCTGATTGTTTTTCAACCAATCGGAAGCGAGTTAGATGCACGCAAGTAGATTTACAAAATTCAAATTAATTGTTCGCGACGCGAGAGTATTTCCGGGCATTTGGTTTGAATTTATTTATCCCCATAATTCAAGTTTATTCTTTGCTACTCCTCAGATATATGTTGCAGCCGATAAGAATAAGATTTACAGCCCTGTCTTGCTTTGAAACAAACATTTACCAACGTGTATTTTTACAAGGTCGTACCCACGCTAACAAAACAGTCACCGATCGGCAAACAAAATTTGTAAACAAACATCTTATTACTGTTCTCTCAGTTCGCCTTATATAAACCCAGAAATACCTACAAATAGCGCCTGACCGGTGACAAAAACACACAACGTATGAGTATAAAGATTATCCTTAATTGAGCATAAATTTCAATTGCTTATCAGCAAATGAACAAATTCATTCGCGTTGCATCGGGTCAATGTTCCGCAAAACAAATGTTATCGAGTAGCACACATAAAGAAACTAGATTATAAACAGAATATTCAGGCAATAATTTATTTTAAAACATCAATTCTTAAACATATACGTTCGTAAAGCAAAGATACAAGGAACATTTCAAGTGTACCAGATCGGTAAAGATCGCGCGGCCTGTTGCGGTATAACTACAGGTCGGAGTCAAAAATCAAATCAAAGTTGAACGAACTCATGCCTTTAACCACTTTCCAAGGCTCGTGTATTCTTTTCGTATGCCACACACTACTCCTAGAACCATACCAGTTCGATAGGTTAAGCTTCTCTATCTCCAGAGACTCTTGAGAACGTCCTGTTGCCGGACGGCCACGATGCTTTTCTGAACCTCCATGATCAAAACATTATTTTTTGCGTCTTCTTAAAACGCAACCAGTCAAACGACACAACCACACGTTAATCACCACTACCGAAGTATAACTAGACCAGCCAAAGCGACAGATGTCCGAATAAAACGAAGGATTTTCAATGATTGTACCGGTAATGGCGATTTCGAATTTAGTGTTGACCCAACAAATTTATTCTGAAGAGACAAACGGCGCGCATGCGCATTATCGTGAACCACTCCCTTTAAACAACATTTCATTTACACTACAGAAATCATGCGAAACCCGTGTTCTTCGCCCTCAAATAGCATTTGTTTCGCTTTAGTGTAAAATTTTTGTCATATTCAGTTGGAATCGAACTCAAAATGGCGGAAAGTGAGACTCAACGCATTGAGCTGATAAGTGAAAGTGAGACTCAACGCATTGAGCTGATTAGTGGAATCGACGATATAAGGACGATGAATCAAGTAATGGAGGCGCTTGACATTTCTTCGAAAGGGTGTCAAACGCTGCAAGATATGAAAGATCGAGTAATAACTACAACAAACCAGTCTGCCAAATCAATCAGTTGGAGTGCAGGACAGGTAAGAATGATTGCTATTAAGAGGAGAGATATTCAGATTATGCTATTCTTTATTAGCGTGTTATTGATCGCATTACTAAGTAACAGGCTTCTTGTATAAGATGTTATTTCTGAGACAGGGCATTGTGCAAGAAGCTTGTGTGAAAACTTTACATAAGAGTCCTTTGAACGTAATTAAACTGCGAAATTTCAGATTTGTATGTTTGAGGACAGCTATAGACAGCTATTTGCATTACTTCAGCTGTTTCTTATGAAACGGGCTTTCTGTCGTTTCTACAAACATCTGGTTGACGAAGAACTAGGCAAGAGTGGCGGAAAAGCCATAATAGGGGTAATTATCAGTAAAACGCCGCGAAGAAGAACCTAGAGTTTTTGAAGTTTGGCAAAATAGATTCTTATAGTTTGGAGTACTTATTGGAAGTTTAGGCTAAATAGGTTCTTACAATGTAATTAGGTTCTTAATTTTTATGAAGAAGGATACTGTTGTTGCGATTACAAGAAATTGCTATGAATGGTATTTGTCCTTCATAATAGGCATTTTTTACCAAAAATCTAACAAAACTAGGTTAACAGCTAGAAGATATGCAGTTTTCAACAATGGTTGTTTACATTATACTGACATTTATTATATAATGTAATATTATAATAAATGTGCCATATTAAAGCCAGACTTTTGGTCAAAATGTTTATGAAAATGTAGTCTAACCCCCATTTTTCTTGGCTAAACTGGTTCTTATATTTTGGAGTATTAAAATGACAAATTTCTGCCAGCAGGTTCTTAAATCCTAGATTCTCCTTCGCGTCGTTTTACTGTATTGCGTTGTAGATTCAAATCTGTTTTAAAATCTACATTGAAATGTAGATTTTCCTTTCTATCAAATGTCAGACGAATGGCACATCTTTTGTTCCTGTCGCATTTCCTTGTAGTATTTGTATTAGGGCTAGTACCTTACTGGACAGGATACTCACATCTAACTAATCAAACCACATTTTTCATGAACAGTGAGCGATCATCTACGTTTTTGTAGAGCTATCTGATAGTAATTGAAGCCGTTGTTTATCGATGCGTGGAGAGAATCAAGCCGGCATACCATCAGGGAGCTTGTCCGTGTCGTAACAGATGCACTGCGGCAATAACGCATTGCTTTCACTAAGTACTACATTTCCTGGGACGGGAATAAGCGAGGTTATCAATTAGGTTCAAAATTCCGTTTACCATGGTGTAACAGATCAGTGTCATTTGAGATATACATATATCACATCAGCAAGTGCAAATAGCAGCAGGGGCGTAGTTAGGAATTTTCCAGAGGAACACACGGTTTTTTCAAATCCACCCTAACCTATCTGCCTCCCAAGCCGCATTAACCGTTTACTTAAAGAATGAATCAGTTCATGGTGAAGAGTTTTAAGTTTGATATGTTAATGGTCCTTATATTTGTAAAATTTTAAGGTGTAAGTTTTGAGTATCTTTGTCATTCATGAGGTAGGCGCCCGGGGGTAGGCGTTGCAATCAGCATTTTGGAAACGCTGACAATTCCTTGAAAATTCCTTCAAACGTAGTGTAATTTTTGTGTGAAACCGTCGTCCTGTTATTGTGAGCGTGAAAGCGAAATTAAAACGGTGTGCTTTCACTGTCACTGATCGACTTCACTGCTAGTGAGCAGTTAGTATAAAATGAATTTGCGCTCTCTGAATTTGTTGTGAGCGAGCTCCAGTCATGTGAAAAATTAGTATAGGTAATAGCATGATTTGTAGTGATATTTGGCATAAATACCACGAGTGATATTTCGAAATTGTTACACGTAATTTCACGAGCCGTTAGGCGAGTGAAATTTGAGACAATTTTGAAATATCACGAGTGGTATTTATGCCAAATATCACGTACAAATCATGCTATTATTTGTTTATACTACTACCCTCAAAAGGTTTGTAATTTTCACATGTAGGTATTTCAAATTAAGCTGAAATACCACTGCTCTAAGCCAATCAAATTGCAGTAATTTTTCATGTAGTAGTATAAAGCAAGTAATAACGCGCGGTACAAGTTTCAAAAGAGAGAAAAAAATCATCTGGTGTGGGTTTCAGCTCAATGTAAAAGTTGGAATTCGGAAATTTCATCTCACAATCGTGCAGGTACAATAAAGAAACGTACCATGAAAAAGACAGGAGCACCCCTCGTCAATTTTGGGAAAATATCTGTCCGGAAGACGATTTGAGATCTAGAGAGATTTTCGGAACACTTTTTGTAAAATTTCTTGCTTGCCTGCCTCTCCTAGGATTTTCGAACATCTAAGAAAATGGTATCATTGCCTATACTTAACGGATCTGTACCCTAAAAAGGTCACCTGGAATTTTCGGGAGCCCTTCTTCTGGCTGAAATTTTCTAAAAGGTCAGTTTGATCCCCATAATTTTCGGATCACTAGCCCTTCAGCTAGGAAATCGGTCCGAACAGATGAATTAGGGGATAAAAATATGCCTATATCTACAGTTTAAATACTAAAATACGTTTAACAATGCTATGTTTTAAGTGGTTTTGAACTATATTCTCGTTGGGTGCCCCTCCGGTTATCCGGAATTTTAAATCAGGAGCAGCGTTGGTGAACAGTAAATGCTGATGGGTCAATTTTTCATTTGCAGTTCAGTTCTTAACAGACTTGACTTGTTTTCTTTCCTCAGGCCTTTTCCGTTTTGTTAGATGCAAAAGATGACGATGTAAGAAAAAGAGCTGGGTTACTGAGCCTTTACACTGAAGCTGAGGAATTGCTAAATAAACTGGACCCCCAAATTGTTGCCCCGCTACAACAGAGTGTTCCTGATTTTGCGCAGAAGCTGAAAAACCACAAGCTACAACTAACACAGAAGGAGTACTTTGTGCTTGTAGCAGGTAAATCATAGTACACTTATAAACTTAAAGAACATTATTATTCTTTCAAAACATATCGCCTTTTCTGATTGGCTTAAATCCCCAACTAATTCTTTATGACCGTCAATGTGGACACAAAAATTGATTTTGACTGGTAGATCGTGCATTCGGATGCGTACTTGAAACCGCAGAGAATACACCCGGAGCAGTCAGTCGATAAAAATCGGTATCGATTTATCAACAACAACAAAAATCGGCAAATCTGATTTGAGTGATATCGATTGTATCGATCAATGGGTAGAAATCGATGACACACTCGCTTCGTTCATCGATTTGTCTTGATTTTTACCGATTTCATCCATTTACATCGGAAGATACATCTGTTCATCTGTTTATCAAAAAATGAAAACTGATCTCATGCAAACAGTAAACTTATTGACAATTGAGTTGCAATTGAGAGTCGAAGGATCAAACTTTTATCACTCTCTAAAGAAATCTTTAAAGCAATCTTACCTTTTCTCTAAAATCTTCTGATGGCTGATATTGGCCAGGTTTGTAGGGGCCCATCTGCCACACTGCACACTTTCAAAATAACGTCGGTGTACCTCCGGGTGTAGTTACATAAAAATCGAAATCGATAAAAATCGTCAGCAAGTGATTTTTATCGATTGGTAACAGAAAACAGTGAAAATCTATCGAGGAAAATCTTTTAGCCTGAAATTCAGACATCCCTTCGACTCGAGGGAATGTCTGAAATTCAGGCTTAGGTTGTATTTCCCGCGATACAGTAAAAACCCGCATACAAGAACATGTGGAAAACAGGCTGAAATTTGGAAAAAAAGGAGCATATATATAAGAACACATTCAGCCTGAAAATTGAAAAATGTTCTTATATATAAAAACTCTTCCCTTTTCAGTTTAATAGAACAGTGTCTGTAGCTTTACTGTGGTATTGCACTAATATCTCTGTATAAATGCTAGTAATTTCACTTGCTATGTATAGCAAATGTAGAACAAGTTACATTTTTTTAGAAGTAAAAAATTAAGAACACTTGAGAACACTTTCAGGCTGATTTCACCTAAAATACCCGATATATAAGAACCCAATCAGCCTGAACCCCGAAAATGGGTGTTCTTGTGTGCGGGTTTTTACTGTACTTGCCTGCGAGAACTGAATGTACGTAGACCGCAACCTCGTTCCTCGGTTCTCTCTCCTACTCATCCTACCCGTCCTACCCTGTCTCTTTCCGTAGGGAAGGGTAGGAGATCACCATGCTGGGAACGAGGTTAAGTAGGCCGTAACTTTGAGTTGTTACGTACAAAATAAAAAGTTTTAGAGAGAAACTTTTGCATAGTTTCCACAATTCTCATTTTCATGTTTGCTGATAAGATGTTACTCGTAGATGTGATTTCTAGGCGGTACCTATGTAACTCGTGCCAAACTGAACAACAATAGCGGACTTCCGTTATATCGCTACAATCATGGAAAATCGATAATATCGATTTGACACAGCAATTTAGTTTATCGATTTTCACCGATCTCCTTTATCAATCGATAAAAATCACTTGATTGCTACCGATTTTTATGGATCTCTCTTGATGTTTATCGATTGACTAATCCGGGAATACGACAACCTTTTTCTCTGGTACGGTCACGAAACCGCTGCAGTGAAAAACAGTTGTTGTTATAGATTTCTATCGATTTTCAATCAAAAAGTGATATCGGCAATTATAGATTGATCGATTGGTTTTCCGATATAGGTTTTTATCGATTGGAATGCACTCGTCAGGCTGATAAAGGTCTGTAGTGAAGGCCGACACTCCCTATACACTTATTTATGCGCTGGGCGAGATAAGTTTAAAAGCTCCTTTGACTCGCAGCAACTTTATTTCCATAACATTCCACAACCAGAGGGTAATTTTGAACATTTCTGACGTCGACAAGGTTGCAGGGCTTGCAATTTGTTTAAATATATATTTTTTGTTCTATCCTTTTGTTTACTTCTTCATCACCTTGCCGTAAGGATCAGTTTGCCGTTTCATATTTTTCTACAAGTTTAATTGTACTGATCCAGGTCTGAATTGGGAGATCCGGCACCACTCATAGGTTTGTTGCTGTGGACTTGCTGACATTTTATGTAAATATAAAGCCCTTGAAATACAACATTTTGCTGCGATTTAGTTTTTTAATTAATCGTTTTATAGAATAAAACTTTTTGCTATGGTCCTGATATATAACACGTTTTTATGAACGATTGCACAAAAAAGTTAAAAATAAGTGAAATTTTAAATTTTGCTAATAAACGGCCCGACCACACTCCAATTTTGACACAATATCTCCACCCCCTCCCCGCTCTTTTACTTCGCCATTTTTTGCGTGGTCCGTTTGACTCTCGTTCCTCGTTCTTTGCTCCTAAACCGCACGGAAACGTTTGCTACGCAGGCTACCAGGATCCATTTTCGTCCTCCTTTGAGTGAGGACCCTAGTTCGATTGTTTCCTGGAGTCCCTCTAAGTGGCTTCAATCTCATCTTATGTATTGGTAACTTTTTATCTTCACAGGAGAGACAGGTTCTGGGAAAAGTAGCTTGATAAATCTTATTTTGGGAGAAGAGCTTCTTCCATATTCTGTTCTCAGTACAACGTCTACCATTTGCGAGCTAAGATTTGGGGAGGAACGTAAAATTGTTGCCCACTATAAAGATAAGGATCCTGAAACAGGCCTACCAACAAAAGTTGTCCCCTTAAGAGAGTGTCAAGGCAGAGAATCAACAGAACAAGGCTATCTTCAGCAGATTGCACCTTATGTTCATGTAAAGAGTGATCGCGAAAGAGGATCAATTTTCAAAAAGATTGAGCTCTTTTGGCCTCACAGTCTCTTGGAGGTAGGCTTGATAGACTCGATACAGTTTAAAGTTGTAGTTTGAGGTCAGTTTTATGATATATCAACTCACCATCCGGGGTATGGCTATAGAAAAGGTTATAGAAAGAATACTATCGAGTGTGATTAGTAATGGATATATAACTGTACTATTGCTTAAATATATGTATTTTTTGGTTAGTATCGTGACTGTTACACAACAATCAGCAAAAAGCATTATTGATATTATTTCCCCTGGCTAACGACTGTTTGTTCAGATAAGCATACAAACGTGTAATGAGGAAACTTTTTTTAAAGCGATTGAAAAGGACCAATGTAAATCAAAGCTAGCTTTTCATTTGTATTTCAGAAAGGAATTGTGATAGTTGACAGCCCTGGAGTTGGCGAGTCGGATATTATGGACGAGATAGTTACGCAGTATCAACCGCAGGCATTCGCTTTCCTCTATGTCATCAACAGTGCCAACGCTGGTGGAGTTCAGAGAGACCGAGTAAGTATCGCAAAAACGATTTTTCACCCATGGAAAGAAGTCATAGTGTCAATTTAAGGAGCATATTGTTTTAGAGGTTACGAGAAAAGAAAACCTGCAACCTGTCATACCACAGAGAACAACGCTACCGAAGTGTCAGTAAAATGGGCTAGGTGACATTTTTATTGTTGCAGCGAATTACTTGCATAGGGGCCCTTCGTGGCAGCCAAAAAAGCCAATTAAATTTTAATCATTAGTTTATCATTTTGCCTGATTTCATATTGAATGTTTGCCTATTACTATGGTACCCTGTAAAGTTTGATTTAGTGCATGTACTATTAATTTTCACTGACTTTAAATTTCCCCTCGTATTCCACTCGTAAGTTGCAGTTATATAGTTAAATTATCTTTCATCCTATCTAGACGACTTTGGTAGAATTCCCCTTTACGAGCTCCGCATAAATTCAATGATCATGCACAATATGTCTATTTCGTTACTCTTTCAGCTCGAAAGATTACTAGAGAAAGTCAGAAAAATGACTCTTGAAAGACAGGGAGCATTACCTACCAAATCCGCCTTGTTTGTGTGCAACAAGTGGGACCAAGTCCCAGAGAAGGAACGGAACGAGGTGAAGAATCACGTGATCATAAGATTGCAAAGATGTTGGCCTGGGGTTGATCCCGAGTCACAGATCATACATATGTCAACTACAAATGCCAGTCAAGCCCAAGACTATAAGATTGTTACCGAGGAATTTTCCACTTTGATGAACAGCTTAAGGCGCATGGTGTTAAAGAGTATTGGAGACATGTTGGAAATTCATTGGAAGTAAGCATCAAGCATCATGTTCATGTTTTATAGGGGCGATTTTAGCAGTCTTAAGGAAAAACATCATATCCTGGGGAATAAACTTACTTCGTAAAATGCAGACCAGTGCGTTGTTTAATTTTTGTGTTTTCCAAGGAGTTTGTCAAACTGACTTCGACTCCAAGTATATCCCTGCTAACTAAATGGGATTCATACCCGGGGAGACATTTGAGGGAAGCTTGGGTAGAGTTGTACCGCCGAGGCCTTGAAACCCTGACCCTATTTATTAATCAAAAAATTTTAATTTTGCTACCCTGTAAAGACAAGGGACCTTGTTTACCCCGACCTTGGAAACCATACCTTGTTCAGTGGCGCATACTCGTTTAGGCCAAATAGGGCCCTGGGACTCACGCAACCAGATAATTCACCCCTGAAAAAGATTAGGTTAAAGATTATTCAGGTTAGTCTGTCACAGGTCGACAGATGAAAATGTCAGTGTCTTGTTGTTCTTTTATCATTTCATAGTTGGTTGGATAACCTTCTCTCACGAACAATCTATCAGGCGAAAGCCTTCGTGATGAATGCCTATAGAGATCGCGACAAAGTAATCCTGAGAACAGAGAAGATTGCTGACCGTATCAAGGAGATTGAAAAGGAACAAAGCAAAGTAATTGCAGACCTTAATGTCTACCGGAAGAAACGAGTGAATGGTGCTTTGAGGGAGCTATCCGAGTACCTCTCGTCGGAAGTTGTTAAAGCCCGCTTCACTTCATGGACAACGGACGAAGTGCCAGCCCCAGAAAACTCCTGGGAGGTAACAGAAAACCAAATCGCAAAAGTTCTCTCCAAGCGGCTACGTGATCTCATAGAGCAATGGGAAGAGGACAAGCAAGTGTTTGCAGGTGCTCGCACGTCAATCGAGGAACACTTTCAGGAGCGTTACAATTTCATGGAAGGTCAGCTGAGGGATCTTCAGAACGCCATCACTGTTGACATAACAGATGTTTCAGAAGATCAGCTTCAGTTTTATCGAGCAAATTTCTCCTTGGCTAAAAAAGTCGTCATTGGTGTCACAAGTCCAATCTGGGTTCCACTTGGTTTAGTTGCTTTGCTGATCGGCGTTCCTATTTATGGTATCGTGGCTATGAGAAGCAAGTTGGAGGATCGAAAGAAAATGAGGAATTACGAAAAAGACAAATGTGCCTTTATGAGAGAAGCATCGGCAGTGTATCTTGAAAATGTGATAGACGATAAATGGCTGAAGCCTTTCGTGAAGGAACAAATGAAAGAAGCCAAAATCTACCTCAAGCAGATTGAAGCCCGTCTACCAGAATTGATTGAAGCAGACAAGATGCTATGCAAACAACTTTGTGACGAAACGCGTTCACAGAGAGAGATAACTGAACGTTACCGACCCATAATGGATGAAGGTTCTCATCTCAGAGGACGCTTAGCAGAATTTGGGTTCAAAGAGGTTCGAGCCACTGATATCAGTGCTGATAATCTAGAATGGAAAGAGGATGTTCCTTCCCCAGTGGGATGCGGTACATTAGGTGTTGTGTACCAGGCAAAGATGAAAAGAAATAAGGCCTACATCACCGTGGCTTTGAAGGTATACCAAAGCGTGCTTGACGCTCAAAATGCAAGCCATTTTATGGCTGAAGTACAAATTTTAAGGTAAGAATATAGTCACTAGCCTTTGACTCTGAAGATTATTCCCTCACAGGTTGCCGAAACGTCAGTCACTGTCAACAACAGTTCTATTCAGGACTACGCTCATCGGGACGATCATGAATTATTCCACCTACTTATGAAAAGATTCCTGGGCTCAAACCATTCACAGTTGTAGATATGAGTCATGCACATAAATTTTCCGTAGAACTGTCATCCAAAAGCTACTTCTTGTACTTTTATGACATCATTGCTGATTATTTATGTGAAACGTTTCAGAGGCTTTGCCCTCCAGAGAGCCACTTGGTTGTATAGCTCAGTTGCTTTTTTCTTAGGTAAATTAGGCCTGGGCCTAGATGTATTTCATAAAAAAGTAAAGAGAGTGGCCTAAAACTTGATCCATTTTATATACCGTAAAATTCCGAAAATAAGCCCCTCCATGTATAAGCTCCTCCAAATATAAGCCCCCCAAAATCGTAACCCAAAAACCCTCCGTTAAGTCGCCCCTCCGAATATAAGCCCCCCCTGGGGCTTGTTCTTTGAATTTGCCCTCAAATAAAAAGTAAAAGAAAGCAAAAATGGTAAATCTCCTTCCCACTACAAGCTAGCCCAATCGATTTTGAAACGCAAATTTCCTTCCGCACATAAGCCCCTCCAAAAATAAGCCCGTCAAAAAGGGCCTTTGAAAAATATAAGCCCCGGGGCTTGTTTTCGGAATTTTACGGTAACATTGAAACACTTTAAATGCTGTTTTGGATCATATATTGTCACGTGACGTGTGAAAGTTATTTGTTGCTAAAAAATCTTTCCATCTAATCGGCAACCCTTTTTATTATAGTCTGGTGGCTGCGTTTAGGTTTATGATATTGACGCCATTAGGTACATCATTTGTGCTTGGACATCTTGAGATAATTTAGAATAAAAGTCCGGAAAAAGAATTCTTTTTCATTGGGGGACTGGGCACTAAAACAAAATGCCGTATATTTTCAAAACCAATGACGTATCTAACAAAGGCCAAGCACAGTTCGTTTCCTTTTACCATTTTAATTCATCTAATTGTAACAAACCTAAAGGGCTGAAAGCATAAACTGTTGCAGTTTTTGCTTTTGAATTGTTTGTCCGTACCAAGTCACGGGACCGTATTTGCATAGGAGATCAAGGGATGGCGCAGTGGCGAGAGCGCTCGCCTCCCACCAATGTGGCCCGGGTTCAAATCCCGGCGTCGACGCCGTATGTGGGTTGAGTTTGTTGTTTGTTCTCTCCTTTGCTACGAGAGGTTTTTCTCCGGGTACTCCGCTTTTCCCCTCTCCCCAAAAACCAACTTTTCCAAATTCCAATTTGATCAGGAATCAGGTAGACGAAGAACCACTTTGTAGATGTGCTACCTCCAAATCATTATTTACTGTTATTTATTTATACATATCTTCCACATCAATATAACCAGATTTGTGACCTTATTAGTCTGCCAAAGTTTTAGGTTGCTATGAACAAACTTTCAGAAGTCAGACCACTCCGTTACTTTTTTGTGCAATAACTTGGAATGAAGAACCTCGTTCCCAGGTTCTCACTCCTACCCGAGAGAACCCTGGGAAAGAGGTTGTAACTGGAATAAATGGACCCTTCCACGGTTTTTTCAAACTTTTGACATGGACTAGTTAGGGCAGATCTGTCGACACCGCTAGAAAGAGCGCCTAACAATTAGTAAAATTGTCAAATTTGAAAGTGATGCCACTTAACGAGCGAAGGTATAGCCCCCTCAAAGTTGCGAAAATTTACAGACGATTATATGGTATGCCCCACCATAAAAACGTCTGTAAAATTTAATTATTTGCCTCAATTTAATTATTTGCCTTATTAGCTAAGAATTCGAGAAAAAATAAGGCCAATTCATATGATTCATTTATTCTTTTTACTTTATTTGTAGGAAATTGAGGCACCCGCACATTGTAAAGTTTTATGGCACCTCTCTGCTGTGGGAGGAAAATTCCGTGAGAATTTTTCTGGTTTTAGAATGGTGTAAGGACGACTTACGCAGTCACATCTCTAAAAATAAGGGGTTAATTCCAGGGAAATCAAGGAGTGATGACGCCATTCGAAAAGTCTATCAATGGGTCAATGAAATCATTGATGCCCTGGCGTACATTCATGAACAAGGGATTGTCCACAGAGACCTTAAGCTAGATAACGTCTTGGTAAGTGAGTATACGTAAGAGCCCTTTTAATGTGCCAAATTGTATTTAGTTTTCACAACTAATTGCGGACACAGCAAAAAAATTAAAATTAGTTACAAATGAGAAATAAAGAATGTATCATCAATTGCCTAATGATTGCTTCGCAAGAGGCATGAAACTCTGAGTAGCAATAAATGCTCAAGGCTTAATCTAGTTCCATCAGTCTACCTACAATCAAAATATGTGGGATTTATAAATTTTACAATAAAACAAGAGGTATATAAAAGGTTGTCTCTGAGAATTGCAAAGGTTACAGCACTTATTGTTGTTGTTTTACTGTGAAATTAGGTCTTTTTTCCTAATGGTAAGATGCGAAATTGCGTTTTTTGGTTCGTTCTTTGTTCAAAAGTAGTGTACGGGGCGATCCTTACTTGACACTCATCGAGTAGTGATAACTGTATGACAGCAAATTACTTATTAAGTTTAGTTTACCAGCACTGGATTGAAACTTCCTTATCAAGTCAGTAGTAAACGTTAAACGGGTGTCTGCCATCTCAGTCATAAATTTATGACCTAGCTGGGAGCTCGCGTCTGTTGCAAAGTATAGTTCCGTCGGCTAGTGACAGTGCTTGACTGTACGAACTGTTAGGATATATGATTTTAAGTGCCTTTTTTTGCACGGACTCTATTCTATCTGACAGATAGTCAGGAATGTCTTGCCACACCTGCACAGCATATTCTAAAATCGGTCCACTACTTCTAAAGACTTTAAATGTCTTGTTGTTGCTCGCCAGCTCTCTTTAATAGTCTGAGAACGTAAAGTTTCTTTGATGCCTCAGCGGTAATATAGTCAAAATAGGTAATATAGTTTAAACCTGTTGTCTACTATTAATCCATGTAATGCATATAAGACAACCTGTGACTGTTGAAAAGACACCAGAGAAAGTTCCAAAATTAGTCCACAACGTTCACCATTTTAGAGAAAAAAAAACGGTATTTTTTTAAAAATTCTTAAACTTTCTAGCCTGGGAAAAAAGGAGGTTGAGGGATTCAACGAAAGCATAGTGTAAGTAATTTCCTCGGGCCTAGCCATCTTTGAAAACTTGAACTTCGTTTCTGATTCGAGAAAGGTATTAGTAGTGAAAAGCAAGTAATCCTCCTTTTTAAGTTAGATTTCTTTTTCTTTAAAGTTGTCAGAGGGAAACTCAGTGAGAGTTACAGACGTTGGCATATCAAAAGCAGCAGTAGACATTACTGGTACCCTTGCTGGAAGCCCTGCCTACATCGCACCAGAAGTGATCAAATCCCAGGTGTATAACAGTAAAGCAGATATCTACAGTCTTGGGATATTGTTGTGGGAGATATGGTACGGAGAACAAGCCTTCGCCGGAACCGAATTAGCATTAGATGCTTTCTTTAATATGGTAGATGATGATGGTCGTCCCAAACCTTTGGAAGGTTGTCGAAAACCTGACTCTCGCTGGGAAGAGCTAATGGAGAAGTGTTGGAATAAGGATCCTGAAAAACGCCCCTCAGCTAAAGAATGCTTGAAAAGTATTTCAGCCATTTTCAAAAACGAATAAACTTGACCCAAGGACGTCGTAGCAGCATCAACTGACGTAAAGTGGTGCATAGTATTAGCCTGAATCAATGAAGTATATTATTAAGTACTACTAGGACAATGGAAACTACAGTAAAAACTCTCAAGTATAAGAACCTTCACTTTTCCAAGAAAGACCAAACACGTTCTGACATATACAAATGGTAATTAGTACAAGTTTAGGCTTGAATAGAATTTGGTGCTATTCAGTCTCTTTCTTATATCAAACAAGTGTTTTTGAAACGAGGATCAAATAAATTTTGAATTCCTCCTTCAGAACATAAGATATTTTATTTTCAACATTGGCATTTACAAGGTAGAGAAGAGGACATTAAAATTTTCATTTATCTTATTTGTCCACGTGTGTACGTATCATTTTAGTCGATTTTAGAAAATAGCAGCTGCTATAAATATAGACAAACAGGTTCCTTTATAGAAGAGGTTCTTATAAAAATAAATTGTTACTTCCTCTTGAAAGTATTGAGGTATTGAGGAAACAAAGCTCTGCAGCGACAACTCTGGTAAACCAACCCGTTTACTTTTTTATTATTCAGTTGCATGTTATTGTGAGTTTAATAAAAATTTTTTGTAATTTTTCTTAAATTGAAATAGCCAAGAGTCTTCATGCTAGTAGGAGTCTCTTCTCAAATTTTGCCAATGGGACAGAAAAAAATGTGTTTGCCATAATTGGTTCTTACATTTGGAATCAGAAAAATTAAGTTTGGAAGCATACATGGTGTTATGTGGTTGGAGACGTATACTAAATATATAACAGGGGGACTATATACCTGTCAGGTTATGTGAATAATATCATAGGTGACGAATTACTGCTTAATTTTTTGGCGCGAGATTTCAGCGATAATTTGTAATTTCACATGTGAAATTACAAAATTGTCATGGCAACATTCCGTACGTCTCAGTGTCAAGATGGCGACGAAGTTTTAAAATGCCGTGAATGAAGATGTCAGGGCACAAAAAGACGCTTTAGAAAACCTTAACACATAAGAGAACATCAAGAAGGACTCTAACAGGTATTTTGCCGAAAAAGTCTGAAAAATTCTGAACTTAACAAGCCAAATTTAAGGTCTAAACATTTGAGAGAGTGGAGTTCTCGATCGATATGATCCAGGATAAACATATTGAAAGAGCATTGAGATTTTTATGTAATGCGTGAGGAATAAAACGGTTTGTTTATTGGCAGCACTAGTTTCTGACCCTGTCTGATTTTATTTTAAACATGAAACGTTCTCCTATAATCTAAGTGGAAAAGGAGTTTTGATTACGGTCCTTGCTATCTTGGAAGCGGAAAGGAAGGTAAAATTAAATGCTTTAAAAGCAGATGTCAGTAAATATCGACCAGAGGTCTACAAAAGTGAAAAATCGAAAATTCTCAAAACAATTCACAAAGTAGCACTAGGTAAGCTGTTAACATAAATGTGGTTTTTACTTCGATCCGATAATTATTTTAAACGTACGGGTGGGGGGGGGTATTGGTTTCGCGGCTCTCGCACCGGGTTTTACAGGCCCAAGACGGCGTGTCACAAAAAAATCGTTTTTTTTAATGCGAACAACAAATTACTTATTCAGAAAAGTACCTCATTATATACATTTTAAGGGGTGATTTACTCGGTTTTAACCAAGGTGTAATATTTTGGAGATTTTTCATTATTTTCTATATTTTGAAATCTGTTTTCAAAACTTTTGAGGTCAAAAAATACAAGTAGTACTTTTCTGAAATTTGAGCTTTCCTCGCTCAGCGGGGCGATGTTAAAAACCCGGAAAAATACTATAAGAAATCAGTTTGAACAACAGTGGTTTGATGTTATCAGCTTTCATAGACCAAGACGTGTTTATCCCCTTTATCCAGCGATCTGATATAATTTAAATCGTTTGCTCACAAGAAAGGCAGATTTACGCTGTCAACTCCTGCCAAGTGCATGAGTCACGTAAGTTTGTCAAAGGGCAAAGCGCAATAATAAACCAGATAAACTTTGAAAATCACAACGTTTTTACGTCCAGGAATTGAATTTTACCGAACAGAACAATGCCTATGGGTTTCCTAGATATTGCAATTAATAAAACATCAAGGACAGCATCGGCAAGAGCATCTTTGGCTGCTCTCAAACGGCGACGGAGATTGCCTTACTTTTCACAGATTGCCCGCCTACCACCTGTTTTTGGCTTCGTATTTCGACGCAACACTTACGACTGGTATTGCGCGCGGCACTGGTACTTTATGGTCAAGTTCTTAAATCTTCTTCACGAGACATTTAACTGAATTTATGATAAAAATGCTTTCAGGAAATAAAAAATATATTTTTTCCAAAGATCAGCTGTGCGCATGGGCGCATGTGCGTATATAAAGGACACTACGCCCCTGCTAACTTAAGACCCACTGTTATAAATGGGACAGTTAGCGTCCTATTCAAGAAGCTTTGTCAATCTGTTTTGTGTCTGATCCCAGAGTATTTTTTGTTTGTTTGTTTTTACACCGTTTCAAAAGTTCATTTCTCGAAATTCGCTATCAGCCGGGGTGGGGGGGGTGTGTTTAGTAGTGTGTTTTTCCTTGCTGAAGAGGCCGAAAACTGAGAGTTTCTGTATATAAAAAAAAAAATACGCATCCCCTGTATACCTTAAAGAACCGGGGAACTTTTATTTTCGTTATGTCAGAAGCCCATAACCAGCTCCTGTGGTTGTGAACTTCTTCAAGGCCGAAAATTTCAGTAAAAACCGAAAACAACATCTAAAAGGAGGCACACAGTTTGGACTAAACAGGGAAAGAGGCTTCTGATTTTCTAAAATGTCATTGATGCACGGTTCAATAAGACTTTGTTACTACTCCTTGGGCATCCACGGGGACAAGTCCAGCCCTTCGGGCCAGAGGGTGGGGAGTTGCTTGAAGCGGTCATTTCCCGGACTTTCGGGGGTAGTTGGCGGGGCAAATCGAAAATAACTTCTCTTTGTTTTTGTGAAAAACATCATTTCTCGCGCGGTTGACAAGATGGCGGCGGACTCCGTAGCTGTGAAAAGGTGCTTGTGAAACATGTCCCTGCAACATATAGGGCAGAAAGTGCGCGCGAGAAGATACGCGTGTCTCGCTCGCGCGCCCCGTTCTTTCTTGCGCCCACCACTTCCTAGCGCCTGCTACGCAGGCTAAACAAGACATGGTCACCAAATCGAAATAAACTCAATATGGCGAAAGTATGATGGTCGATTTCACCGCAAAAAAGATACACCACCGAACCTCTGGAAATGTTGTTATAATGCTCATCTTTCAAATCAAAAGAATTATTTAGGTCAAAAAGGTTAAACCTTGTCGTTTCTTTTTCCTTTTCTTTTCTTTGTTGTTTGATAATGCCAAAAAATTGGGTCGGTTGGACGACGCTAAACGAAGAAAAAAGGGCAGATGCCCTTTTATTATAGTTATTTGGCTCCCTCAGAGTATAAAAGTATAAGTTTACAATGCCAGGATCCAACCTCGTCTCCAGGGCGCTTTTTTCTGGCTTTGGAGGTGGGGAAGAGCGAGGAGAAACGGATGTTTTCGCAGGCTAGAAGAAGCTAATTCCTCCAAAGGTATTACTTTTTTTTCGGGAAAATTTCCACCAGGACGAACCGTTCCATTTGAATTCTCCCTGGAATTTCCGAGTTTTCCATACAAATGGTAGGCGCTCTTGTTTTCGTATGGTCATGTGGAAATGTGTGTCAATAAATTGTGCAGCGGGGTAGCTCCTCTTCTAAATTGAATGGACGTTGAAATATTATCTGGAGTAGGGAGAAGATTCTTGCTTCAAAATGACGCTTGAGTTTCTGAGTTGCGTGCAAACTGCGTTGCTTTCGGCTTGTTACGATAACATTATTTTGAAGGCAAAACAGATTATCTGTTTAGAGAGTTTGTACTTGAAAAAAGATTTGCTCGCTTTCGTACCAACAGGATACAAAAAGTCTCGCTCGATTTGCTCGTGCAAAATCAGCTTTCCGTAAATTTGCATTCTCAGCACCTGCAGTTCATAAAAAGGAAAAGATTTTGCAGTGTAGTAAGGTTATTTGCCACTTTGGTAAATTTGTCGGCTGGTGCACGATATACCAAGTAAATAGTCAGACTCGTTCCCAGCGTTCTCTCTCTTGCAGTATGCAATATTATTTTTTTCGGGTGTTGTTGACATTTTCAAATACCCACGCCATCAGCTGAGTAATAGGGAGCTTTAGCAACGACGACAGCGACGGCAACCAGGACGTCAAAAAAGCAATAGGTTTATTACGCAAAACAACAACTTTGCACGTGCATCACGCTTTCTTGTACATTTCTTCGCGGTCCTTGCACGACTACGACGTGAAAATGCCTAATTGCAAGTTTCATGGAGGACGTAAACAAGCGAGGACAAATCTCTTTTTCTCTATCTAAACTTGGGTGCGGTCCTCAAGAAATCAACTCCTGGGAAATTCGCCTACACTTGCCATTTTCAGCAAATTGGAATAAACGCGACAAAGATTGAAAACTCCTCTCGGGCCCCGAGAGAGCAACTTATGTCGTAGCGACGATTATTTACTCTTCCTCCTCTCCCTTATTTTTGGCTCCCAGATTTTGGGCACCACGTGACCAGCCTCAACAGGGGTTCTTTCTCGAAGCAAGAGAGAGAACCCTGGGAACGAGGTTGTTGTATCCTTTGTTTCAGTGACGTCAGCGATACCTTCAGCTAGGCTTCTTCGCGAATCTTGCTTTGAGTAGGGAGAGGGTCAGTAGACTCCAGTTTCATCAAGGGGGACGCCTAGTGCGGACTACGTGAATGTCATTTTGGCAAGCCAACTTAAATTAAGAGTAACCCAATTCTTTATTTTTGTTTGAGAGTTCATTTGTTTTGTTGTGATTCTTTTGTTAACGTTTTCCTCGAAGTTACAACATGCACTGTACTCATGATGAGGGTAAATCATCCCTTTTCCTCTTCCCAAAGCAAGAATATGTCCTGATGTTTTGATTAAACTCCTAAACTCATTAACAGTCTAGTAACTTTTTTTCGACTGTGATAATCGCAAGGCTGCATCATACGACGTTATATATATATTCCATGAACAAAACATGTCGTCCTAGCATGGGCCCTACGTACTTGTGATACGCGCGCACTGACCCCCCCCCCGATCCCATCTGACCCACCCCACACAAAAGTTATATTAAACAACATTTTAATTACACTACAGAAATCATGCGAAACCCCATGTTCTTCGCCCTCAAATAGTATTTGTTTCGCTTTAGTGTCCAATTTTTGTCATATTCAGTTGGAATCGAACTTAAAATGGCGGAAGGTGAGACTCAACGCATTGAGCTGATTAGTAGAATCGACGATATAGGGACGATGAATCAAGTAATGGGGGCGCTTGGCATTCCTTCGAAAGGGTGTCAAACGCTGCAAGATATGAAAGATCGAGTAATAACTACAACAAACCAGTCTTCAAAATCAATCACTTGGAGTGCAGGACAGGTAAGAATGATTGCTATTAAGAGGAGAGATATTCAGATCATGTTATTCTTCATTAGCGCGTTATTGATCGCATTACTAAGGAACAGGCTTCTTGTAAGATGTTATTTCTGAGACAGGGCATTGTGCAAGTAGTTTGTGTGAAAACTCCACATAAGAGTCCTTTGAACGTAATTTAACTGCGAAATTTCAGATTTATATGTTTGAGGACAGCTACATAGACAGCTCTTTGATTTGCTTCAGCTGTTTCTTATGAAACGGGCTTTCTGTCGTTTCTACAAACATCTGGTAGACGAAGAACTAGGCAAGCGTGGAAGTAAGTCATGAGGGTAATTATTGAGGCCTCTAAGGCCTGGTATTGCGTTGTAGTTTCAAATCTGTTTAATGTATATTTTCCTTTCTCGCTTCATTTAAGAAATATGAAATGTCAGACGAATGGCACATCTTTTGTTCCTGTCACATTTCCTTGTAGCTTTTATATTAAGGCTAGTACCTTACTGGACAGGATACTCACATCTAACAAATCAAACCTATTTTTTCATGAACAGTGAGCGATCATCTAAGTTTTCGTAGAGTTATCCGACAGTAATCGAAGCCGTTGTTTATCGATGCGTGGAGGGAAGCCGGCATACCATCAGGGAGCTTGTCCCTGTCGTAACAGATGCACTGCAGCAATAATGCATTGCTTTTACTAAGTACTACATTTCCTGGGACGGGAATAAGCTAGGTTATCAATTAGGTGCAAAATTCGATCTACCATGGTGTAACAGATCAGTGTCATTCTGAGATATACATGTATCACAGCTGCAAGTGCAAATAGCAGCAGGGGCGTAGTTAGGAATTTTCCAGCGGAACACACGGTTTTCCAAATCCACCCTAACCTATCTGCCTCCCAAGCCGCATTAACCGTTTACTTAAAGAATGAATCAGTTCATGGTGAAGACTTTTAAGTTTGTTCTTTTAATAGTCCTTATATGTGTAAAATTTTAAGGTGTAAGTTTTGAGTATCTTTGTCATTTATGAGAGGTAGGCGCCCGGGGGTAGGCGTTGCAATCAGCATTTTGCAAATGCTGACAATCCCTTGAAAATTCCTTTAAACGTAGTGTGATTTTTGAAGTGAAACCGTCGTCCTGTTATTGTGAGCGTGAAAGCGAAATTAAAACGGTCTGCTTTCACTGATCGACTTCACTGCTAGTGGGCAGTTAGTATAAAGTGAATTTGCGCTCTCTGAATTTGTCGTGAGCGAGCTCCAGTCATGCGGGAACATGATTAGGCAAGTAACGCGCGGCACAAGTTTCAAAACAGAAAGAAAAAAATCATCTGGTATGGGTTTCAGCTCAATACAAAAGTTGGAATTCGGAGATTTCATCTCGCAATCGTGCAGGTACAATAAAGAAATGTACCATGAAAAGCCGTGATGCACCAAGGTGCAGGTGCCACCGGCAAAAGTTTCTCAGTTATCCGGACTTTTAAAAGGACTGGTTCACGGTTGAGCGGATGCTCATTCGTCAAAATGCTGTTTTTCTGCCGAGACATGCTGTATCGTCTATGCAAGCAATATGATCATGTCATAATGTTGTCAAAGAACCAATCTGCACACTCCCCTGGCAGTCACTTGCACTTGATCAGCTTAAATATTTGCAAATAGCTGTAAATTTATCAACCATGGAGTAAAACCTTCAGGGTCAACAATAAATTTAACGTTGGTAGTGTTGGCATAATTCACTAATTTTTTTTCTGCGATTTTAGTACTCCTCCATGCTACTTCGTTCCTCTGAAATACACTTGTACTTTGAAATACACTCTGAGATCGCTGAGATACAACTGAGTGGGATTATTAACCGATAGAATTAATAATAAATTGGAAGAAAAGTAATTTAATTCATGAGTATGCGCTTAACCGTGAAACTGTCCCTTTAAATCAGAAGCAATTGGTGAACAGTAAATGGTGATGGGTCAATCGTTTTTTTCTATTTAGTTCTTAACAGATTTGACTTGTCTTCTTTCCGCAGGCCTTTTCCATTTTGTCAGATGCAAAAGATGACGATGTAAGAAAAAGAGCTAGGTTACGGAGTCTTTACACTGAAGCTGAGGCATTGCTGGAAGAACTTGACCCCCAAATTGTTGCCCCGCTACAACAGAGTGTTCCTGATTTTGCGCAGAAGCTGAAAAACCACAAGCTGCAACTAACACAGAAGGAGTACTTTGTGCTTGTAGCAGGTAAATCATAAATACACTTATAAACTTAAAGAACATTAATATTCATTCAAAACATCTCTCATTTTCTGATTGGCTTAAATCCCCAACCAATTCCTTATGATCGTCAATGTGGCAGGTAGATCGTGCATTCACTGATCGGATGCGTGCTTGAAACCGCAGAGAATACACCTGGAGTGGTCAATCGAAAAAAATCGGTATCAATTTATCGACAGTCGATAAAAATCGGTAAATCTGATTTGCGTGATATCGATTGTATCGATCAATCGGTAGAAATCGATGACACACTCGCTTCGTTCCTCAATTTATCTTGATTTTTACCGATTTCATCGATTTATATCGGAACATACATCTGTTCATCTGTTTATCAAAAAAAAGACATCCCTTTGACTCGAAGGAATGTCTGAAATTCAGGCTTAGGTTGTATTTCTCGCGATACTTGCCTGCGAGAACTGAATGTAAATAGACCGCAACCTCGTTCCCTGGTTCTCTCTCCTACCCGTCCTACCCTGGCCCTACCCTCTCTCTCTCTTCGTAGGGACCGGTAGGAGAGAACCCTGGGAACGAGGTTGAGTAGACCAAACCGTCCCTTTAATAATAATAATAATAATAATCTCATAAAACTAACTACAAAATCCGACCTATTTACAATTAAATTTTGCTTAAAGAAAAAACCATCGAGTACAAGTACTATTTACAATTCATTTCAATTAAAAAAACCCACATAGTTCCGATTAAAAAATTCATTTCAATTAAAAACCGTTATTCGAATACTAATACTAATTCTACTAATAACAATTATAAAAAGCATCGAAAAGTTAATAAAAAAATAAAATAAAAAATAATAATAATAATATAATAATAATGGACACTTATATAGCGCGGTATCCACTAATTGCTCAAAGCGCTGTTCAATGATATCGTAAGAAACTAGAGTTAAAAACTGTTTTAAGATAAAATTGAATTAAATAAGGCTACTAAAATCAAACACCGTAGGCTAATTTAAATAAGTATGTCTTCAACTGCGTCCTGAACTGGTCGGCAGATGTAACACCCCTGAGTTCAGGGGGCAATTGATTCCATAACCTAGGAGCAGCTGCGGAAAAAGCCCTATCACCATAGGTCTTTAACCTAGTCCTAGGCTAGAAAATTCTGGCAACTAGAACGTAATCGTGGACCATTAGTGTAGCGTTAAAATTCGGATAGGTAAGTTGGTGCCAAGCCATTAAGACATTTGTAAACTAAGAGGAAAATTTTAAAATGTGTGCGATAATTTAGAGGTAACCAATGAAGTTTGAACAGGATAGGAGTGATATGGTCAAATCGCTTAGATAAAGTAACAATGCGTGGAGCAGTGTTTTGTATCAATCTTAACCTGTTTAACAGGTGTTTAGGAAGGCCATATAACAAAGAGTTACAGTTATCGAGTTTAGAGCTAAGAAACGCATGTACTAAAATTTGAGGGGTATCTTCACTTAACAAGTACTTCCTGATCTTAGCAATGTTCCTTAGATGATATTGACAGGAAACGCAGATTTTGTTATCATATAGTCGGTTAAATCAAGACTCTGATCTATAATTACCCCCAGATTTCGGGCGGAAGGTTTGGGTTGGATCTTCTCATCAACCACCTGTATAGACTCCAGAAAAGGCCTGCAACGACAATTGTGATGCACAAAATAAAGGGTTTTAGAGAGAAACTTGTGCGTAGATTCCACATTTCTTATTTTCACGTTTGCTGATAAGATGTTACTCGTGGATGTGTTTCCTCAGTGCTACTTACATAACTCTTGCCAAACTGAACAACAATGGCGGGCTTCTGGTACAAATCGTTAAAATCATAAAAAATCGTTAATATGGATTTGACACAGGAATTTAGTGTATCGATTCTCACCGATTTGTGTTATCAATCGATAAAAATCACTTGATTGCTACCGACTTTTATTGATTGACTAATCCGGGAATACAACAACCTTTTTTTCTGGTACAGTCACGAAACCGCGACAGCGAAAAACAGTTGTTGCAAAAATAGGTTTCTATCTATTGTCAATAAAAAAATGATTATCGGCAATTATAGATTGATCGATTGGCTTTCCGATATTGGTTTTTATCGATTGGAATGCACTAGTCAGGCTGATAAAGGTCTGTAGTGAAGGCTGACACTTGGACAAGATAAGTTTATAAGCTCCTTTGACTCGCAGCAAGTTTATTTCCATAACATTCCACAACCAGAGGGTAATTTTGAACATTTCTGACGTCGACGTACAAGGTTGCAGGCCTTGAAATTTGTTTAAATGTCAGTATTTTTTTGTTCTATTCTATTGTTTACTTCCTCATCGCCTTTCCGTAAGGATCAGTTTGCCTTTTCATATTTTTCTACAAGAGAGATCATTGGTTTGTTGCTGTGGACTTGCTGACATTTTATACAAATATAAAGCCCTTGAAATGCAACATTTTGCTGCGATTTTGTTTTAATCGTTTTATACAATAAAACTTTTTGCTGTGGTCCTGTTTTACGAGACGTTTTTATGAACGTTTGCACAAAAAAGTTCAAAATAACTGAAATTTTAAATTTTGCTAATAAACTGCCAGACCAAGGTCCAATTTTGACGCAACATCCCGTAATATGTAGCACCTTACAATTTCGTTCCTAGTTTTCTTAACCTCGTTCCCAGGATTGTTCCTCCTTTGAATGAGGATCCTGGTTCGATTGTTTTCTTGAGTCAGTTCTAAGTGGCTTCAATCTCATTTTATATATTGGTAACTTGTTATCTTCACAGGAGAGACAGGTTCTGGGAAAAGTAGCTTGATAAATCTTATTTTGGGAGAAGAGCTTCTTCCATATTCTGTTCTCAGTACAACGTCTACCATTTGCGAGCTAAGATTTGGGGAGGAACGTAAAATTGTTGCCCACTATAAAGATAAGGATCCTGAAACAGGCCTACCTACAAAAGTTTTCTCCTTAAGAGAGTGTCAAGGCAAAGAATCAACAGAACAAGGCTATCTTCAGCAGATTACACCTTATGTTCACGTAAAGAGTGATCGCGAAAGAGGATCAATTTTCAAAAAGATTGAGCTCTTTTGGCCTCACAGTTTCTTGGAGGTAGGCTTGTTAGACTTAATACAGTTTAAAGTTGTAGTTTGAGGTCAATTTTATGATATATCAACTCATCATCCGGGGTACGGCTATAGAAAAGGTTGTAGAAAGAATGCTATTGAGTGTGATTAGTAATGGAAATGTAAAAATGAACGGTACTATTGTACCATATAGGTATTATTTGGTTAATATGTTACACAGCAATCAGCAAAAAGCATTGTTGATATTACTTCCCCTTACTAACGCCTACTTGTTCAGATAAACATAGATAGATGCAATGAGGAAACTTTTTATAAAGCTATTGAAAAGGACCAATATAAATAAAAGCTAGCCTTTCATTTTATTTCAGAATGGAATTGTGATAATTGACAGTCCTGGAGTTGGCGAGTCGGACATTATGGACGAAATAGTCACGCAGTATCTACCCCAGGCGTTCGCTTTCCTCTATGTCATCAACAGTGCAAACGCTGGTGGAGTTCAGAAAGACCGAGTAAGTATCGCAAAAACGATTTTTCACCCATGGAAAGAAGTCATAAGTGCAATTTTAAGGAGCATATTGTTTTAGAGGCTACGAGAAAAGAAAACCTTCGACTTGTCATACCACAGAGAACAATGTTACCGAAATGTCAGTAAAATGGGCGAGGTGACATTTTCATTGCAAGGCAGCCAAAAGAGCCAATTAAATTTTAATCATTAGTTGATCAGTTTGCCTGACGACATATTAAATGTTTTGTCTATTACTATGGTGCCCTGTAAAGTTTGATTTAGTACATGTACCATTAATTTTCACCTACTTTAAATTTTCCCCTCAGTAGTTAAAGTTAAACAAGACGCACGAGTGCGTGAACCCGTGTAATAATGCACTACAGCCCATATGAACTTTGATGATGAATTAATGGAAAAAAATACTACCGGCTAGCTAATCAGACTGGAAAGACTCGAACGTTGCAAAGGGTTGTACTTGACCATGACTGCGTAATGCTTCAAAGTAATGTTGAGCTAGTTGTCTTTTTCTTTAAATTAGCATAAGCTTCCGCGCGAGCTCGATACAAGTTAATCCATATATGCCAAAAAAGTCAAAGAATATTTCTTTCCCTGGATATAGTAAGTTTCCGTTTTTATACCAAGACAGCCGGGAAGCAATGAACAGTCAGATTTGTTTGTTTTGATGAATGAAAATTAATGCACCGAAACGGTAATTTACTGCCACTTTCCTGCAACTAGGTGCAAACTATGCTATATTACTAAATCAAATCAATTTCTCTGCTTTTAAATTTTCTAATGTGTCTTACTGTTGTTGCGATAAAAACTATAAAGCATACAATTTCTAAGGTCTGTACAGTGACGTGTGTGGACGTGTTTGTATAAATCGAACAATTAAGGTGTGCAATTTAGCACAAAAACGGTCCATACGTTTTACAAAACTGCTTCTTCTTTGCACCTTGGTACACGCTTACTCGCCAAAACAAAGCCCATTAGTGTTTCTTCAGCTGCTATATAAATTCTCGTGACTTGCTCTAAACATAAAAAGTGAAAATTACCCACCTTTTTAGCATGTCTTCTTTTCTCAACTAGCGATCGCAACGCCGATCTCGATTAAACAAATCGAGCCACTGTGTTTGTCTGACAGTTCCGGGATGCATTATCCTCTAGACAACACATATCACTAAACATTTCGACCAAAATAATTGTCGATCTCTCATAGAGGCAACAAAACCACAACCTTAACGCTACCGGCTGACAAAAAAGTTGCCTTTTGTTCTCGACATGTCAAGGGAATTTTGCGTCTAAGCCAATGAATTTGCCGGAAATCGATTACGTGATATTCCACCGGTACGGGCATGCGCTTTAAAGAAAAGAGGGTGATTCGACGACGAAGGAAAAACCCAGGCCATTTTGTAACCCGTCTCTTCCTGAAAGAAAGGCCGGGTAATTATCTTTCATCGTATCTAGACGACTTTGGTTGAATTCCCCTTTACGAGCTCCGCATAAATTCAATGATCATACAAAATATGTCTATTTCGTTACTCTTTCAGCTTGAAAGATTACTAGAGGAAGTCAGAAAAATGACTCGTGAAAGACAGGGAGCATTACCTACCAAATCCGCCTTGTTTGTGTGCAACAAGTGGGACCAAGTCCCGGAGAAGGAACGGAACGAGGTGAAGAATCACGTGATCAAAAAATTGCAAAGATGTTGGCCTGGGGTTGATCCCGAGTCACAGATCATACATATGTCAACTACAAATGCCATTCAAGCCCAAGACTATAAGATTGTTACCGAGGAATTTTCCACTTTGATGAACGGCTTGAAGGGCATGGTGCAGAGTATTGGAGACATGTTGGAAATTCATTGGAAGTAAGCATCAAGCATCATGTACATATTTTATAGGGGCGATTTTAACAGTCTTATGGAAAAACATCATATCCTTGGGACTAAACTTACTTCGTAAGATGCAGGCGTAAAATGCGTTGTTCAATTTTTGTGTTTTCCAGGGAGTTTGTCAAACTGACTTCGACTCCCAGTATATCGCTACTAACTAAATGGGATTCATGCCCGGGAGGCATTTAAGGGAAGTTTGGTTAGAGTTGTGCCCCCGAGGCCTTCAAACCCTGACCCTGTTTATTAATTAAAAAACTGCTCATTTTGCTACCCTGTAACTGAAACACAAGGGACCTTTTTTACCCCGACCTTAAAAACCATACCTTGTTCAGTGGCGCATACTCGTTTAGGCCAAATAAGGCAGTGCCCTCTAGGATTCACGCAACCAAGGAATTCACCCCTGAAAAAGATTAGGTTAAAGATTATTCAGTTTAGTCTGTTAGCTCGTCAGACAAAAAAGTCAGTGTCTTATTGTTCTTTTATCATTTCATAGTTGGTTGGATAACCTTCTCTCACGGATAATCTATCAGGCGAAAGCCTTCGTGATGAATGCCTACAGAGATCGCGATCAAGTAACCCAGAAGATAGAAAAGATTGCTGACCGTATCAAGGAGATTGAAAAGGAGCAAAGCAAAGTAATTACCGACCTTAATGTCTACCGGAAGAAACGAGTGAATGGCGCTTTGCATGAGCTATCCAAGTACCTCTCGTCGGAAGATGTTAAAGCCCGCTTCACTTCATGGACAAAGGACGACGTGCCAGCCTCAGAAAACTCCTGGGAGGTAACAGAAAACCAAATCGCAAAAGTGCTCTCCAAGCGGCTGCGTGAATTCATAGAGGAATGGGAAGAGGACAAGCAAGTGTTTGCAGGTGCTCGTGCGTCAATCGTGCAACACGTTCAGGAGCGTTACAATTTCGTGGAAGGTCAGCTGAGGCATCTTGAGAGCGCTATCACTGTTGACAGAACAGATGTTTCAGAAGATCAGCTTCAGCTTTCTCGAGCAAATTTCTCCTTGACTGAAAAAGTCGTCATTGGTGTCACAAGTCCCATCTGGGCTCCACTTGGTTTAGTTGCTTTGGTGATCGGCGTTCCCGTTTATGGTATCATGGCTATGAGAAGCAAGTTGGAGGACAGAAAGAAAATGAAGAATTACAAAGAGGACAAATGTGCCTTCATGAGAGAAGCGTCGGCAGCGTATCTTGAAAATGTGACAGAAGATAAATGGTTGAAGCCTTTTGTGAAGGAACAAATGAAAGAAGCCAAAATCTTCCTCAAGCAGATTGAAGCCCGTCTACCAGAATTGATTGAAGCAGACAAGTTGCTATGCAAACAACTTTGTGACGAAACGCGTTCACACAGAGAGATAACTGAACTCTACAAACCCATAATGGATGAAGGTTCTGATCTCAGAGGACGCTTAGCAGAATTTGGGTTCAAAGAAGTTCGAGCCACTGATATCAGTGCTGATAATCTAAAGTGGAAAGAGGATGCTTCTTCCCGTCTCGGATGCGGTGTATTTGCTGCTGTGTACCAGGGAAAGATGAAAAGAAATAAGGACTACATCACCGTGGCTTTGAAGCTGCACCAAAGCGAGCTTGACGTTAAAAATGCAAGCCTTTTTATGGCTGAAGTACAAATTTTAAGGTGAGAATATAGAGTCACTAGCCTTTGACTCTGAAGATTATTCCCTCACAGGTTGACGAAACGTCAGTCACTGTCAACAGCAGTTCTCTTCAGGACTACGCTCATCTGGACGATCATATTCCACCTACTTATGAACAGATTCCTGGGTTCAAACCTTTCACAGTTGTAGATATCAGTCGTGCACATAAATGTTCATATAGAACTGTCATCCAAAAGCTACTTCTTGTACTTTTATGATATCATTGCTGATTATTGATGTGAAACGTTTCAGAGGCTTTGCCCTTCAGAGACGAACACAGCCACTTTGTTGTATAGCTCAGTTGCTTTTTTTCTCAGTTAAACTAGGCCCAGATCTATTTTATAAAAAAAAGTAAAGGGGGTGGTCTAAAACGTGATCCATTTTATATAACACTGAAAAACTTTGGGATATTGTTAACAGCAATAAGATTTGAAACCTTAAATGCTGTTTTGCATCGTATATTCTCACGTGACGTGTCAAAGTTATTTTAAGCTCAAAAATCTTCCCAGCTAATCGGTAACACTTTTTATTATAGTATGGTGGCTGCGTTTAGGTTTATGATATTGATACGCTTAGGTACATCATTTGTGCTTGGACATCTTGAGATAATTTAGAATAAAAGTCCGGAAAAAGAATTCTTTTTCATTGGGGGACTGGGCACTAGTACAAAATGCCGTATATTTTCAAAACCAATGACATATCTAACAAAGGCCAAGTACAGTTCGTTTCCTTTTACCATTCTTATTCATGTAATTGTAACAAACTTGAAGGGCTGAAAGCATAAACTGTTGCAGTTTTTGCTTTTGAATTGCTTGTCCGTACTAAGTCACGTGACCTTATTTGCATAGGGGAGCAAGGGATCGCCCAGTAGTGAGAGTTAATTTTCACGTAGTACGATCAGCATTGCCGTATTCTGCTTGAAGAATTTAATATGTCTACAAACTCTCGGAAGTTAGATCACTCCCTTACTTTTTGTGCGATAACTTGAAATGAAGAACCTCGTTCCCAGGTTCTCTCTCCTACCTGAGAGAACCCTGGGAACGAGGTTGTAACTGGAATAAATGGACCCTTCCACGGTTTTTCAAACTTTTGACATGGACCAGTTAGGGCAGATCTGTTGACACCACTAGAAAGAGCGCCTAACAATTAGTAAAATTGCCAAATTTGAAAGTGATGCCACTTAACGAGCAAAGCTATAGCAATCTCAAAGTTGCGAAAATTTATAGACGATTGTATGGTGTGCCCCACTATAAAAACGTCTGTAAAATTTAATTATTTGCCTTATTAGCTAAGAATTCGAGAAAAAATAAGGCCAATTCATATGATTCATCTATTCTTTTTACTTTATTTGTAGGAAATTGAGGCACCCGCACATTGTAAAGTTTTATGGCACCTCTCTGCTGTGGGAGGAAAATTCTGTGAGAATTATTCTGGTTTTAGAATGGTGTAAGGACGACTTACGCAGTCACATCTCTAAAAAGAAGGAGTTAATTCCAGGGAAATCAAGGAGTGATGACGCCATTCGAAAAGTCTATCAATGGGTCAATGAAATCACTGATGCCGTGGCATACATTCATGAACAAGGGATTGTCCACAGAGACCTCAAGCTAGATAACATCTTGGTAAGTGAGTGTACGTACGAGCTTTTTTAGTGTGCCAAATTTTATTTAGTTTTCAAAACTAATTATTTACAAATGAGAAATATAGAATGTATCATCAATTGCCCGACGATCGCTTCGCAAGAGGTATGAAACTCTGCATGAGTAGCAATAAAAGTTCAAAAAGATTTAATCCAATTCCATCAATCTATCTACAATCAAAATATGTAGGAT